TGGGCTCAGAGAACTGTCTTCAGTCACCTGCTGAAAACATGAACATATTTATTAACAAAGTATTATACATACGAAGCCACACTTTTTTATAAAGAAGATATAATATAATAATATTAAATTTAATATAAAATAAATAGAATTTTAGAAATAAAAATAAAATAATACAATCTGAGAAAAGATTGTATTGCTACAAATTTTCTGAAACAAAAATTGTTCATTTTGAAAGTAACATGATCATCAGCAGTTTTGTCATGTCACCTGAAAGGGGACATCAGAGTACAAAGAGTCGAAAGGCGAGCAAAGAAAGGCTACTAGAAAAATTGGACGTTGACAGACTTTCGACAAAATGTTAACTCGGCATGGAAAGTACAGAACGCGCGCGCAATTATAGTTTTGCGAGAGCGTAGCTTTGCGCAAGTTTGGCAAAGCGGCCGAGATGGAATACATCGTTAGTATCTGCGAGGTAAAAAAGGCCAGCAACGAATTCAATTTTCTCGGCATAGCTAGAGAAGAATATTTACCACGCACGGAGAAGTTACACGCACATAGCACCACTTGCCACTTGGAGCAATTGACCACGCAAGTGTTTACCGTCCCCTTCGACTACGTGATGCTATGCAATATTCGTTTAGTTTTGCTTTATGTATCGCTGACAACTGTTATCGGTCCGATGATAACGCGCAGTAGCTGCGGTCTTGACGTATTCGCGCAATTTTCGATTATCGCCGATACTATTGACGCACTTTCGGCACCTGCCGACGACAATTGCATCTTGCACTCGAAATGCGCACTTGGAACACGATATCTGCGACTTTGGAATTATTCGTACGAGGAAATGATTTACTGTAACGACTTTAATCAAAATTGAGACTTCAATGAATACCGGAAAGTTGCAATTTCAAATAAAAAAGAACATTTTCAGGTCTTAAAATTGTTTTGTTTGAACTTTTAAAATTGAATTGTAAAAAGCTGCCACTGCCACAGAGTTGCAACTAAAATTTTAAATAGGAAAGGACATTCGTTGATCTTTCAAGACGTTTATGTAATTGTAAACAAAGAACGTGCAATTTCAAATAGGGAAAAAGACGTACAGATCTCGGAAAGTTTTAAAAATTTTATCTCTTAATGAAGTACCAATGCAGCAAAGTTGCAAGTGCAATTTCAAAGAGGAAGAAACGATTATAGATTTTAGACAATACTGAAAATCAAATTGTAAAAAAGTATCATTACCACAAAGTGGCAAATAAAATTTCGAATAGGAAAGAACATTTGATCTCAGAAATCTTTTACAATCAAATTGTAAAAAATGCACCAGTGCCACAAAGTTGCACGTATAATTTCAAATAGGAAAGAACACGTGCAGATCTCAGAAGCATTTCAAACTTTTACTTCTGATAAAGTACCGGTGCCACATAGTTGCAAGCGTAATATTAAATAGGAAGGAAAATTTACAGATCTCAGTGTTTGTTGAAAATTAAATTGTAAAAAAGTACCAGTATCATAAAGTTACACATGCAATTTCAAATAGTAAAAACCCTGTTAGAGTACTCAAACGTCTTTTAAAATTAAATTACGAACAGAATATCAATGCCACATAATTGCAAGTGCAATTTCAAATAGGAAGATCAGTTGCAAATTTCAAAAGTCTATAAAAAATTGAATTCCAAAAATGTACCAATTACAAAAGGTTGCAACAGCAAATTCAAATAGTAAAGAACATTTGAAGATTCCAGAAGTCTTTGAAAATGTAATTATTAAAAATTGATAGTGCCACAAAGTTGCAACCGCAGTTTCAAATTTGAAATATCATATAGTGGTCTCTAAAACCTTTCAAAATTGAACTTCAAAAACATAGCAATATCTACTAAGGTACGTCAGAGTCATCTCAACGAATAAAACGTGGCTTCCTCGACCGAGAGTGGAAACAACGAGAAACAGTTGAAAAAAAAAATAATTACACTCACAGTGCTAGGTTTCCGATTCGCTGCGTTCCGTGGTCCGGCGTTCGAAAGAATATTTTCTGGAGCGCAGCGCGTGTAAGAGGTGTAGTGGCAATTCCGTGTGATTGAAGCGCAGCGTCGATGTTGGTTAAAGATATAAGAATGCAAAACGCGTCTGTCAGTGGAGAGGCTGCGCGGGTCACAATCTCATCTACCGATCCTAATCGGTAGTGGCCTCTCTTTCTCTCTGCCGTGTGCTTCGCTCGGCCCTTCAAACGCTTAAATCCCCCGCTGGACGTACGCGAGCGCACGCTATTATCTTATTTACGCCTCATTGTCTCAATGCATCATACCAATATCGAGCGGCCGCCTCGTACCGAGCAACAACACACACTTTTGTATCTGGCCCACGTGAAACCGCCTCGTCTAGGACTTTCGGCGATACGCCAACTGTGCAAACATTATACACCCCTCGAACGAAATGCCGGACTCTCGATTCGAGGCGGCCAAGATCCGTAGCGGAATCTGATCGAGCTGGACAAATGTGCCAGTTACTGTGCCCATCGAAGTGACCTCCGAAGTTTTCGACAAATTAAATAATGCTTTTTACCTACATCGTGGTTCTTAAAATATTTAAATTGTATGCCGATGTTTTTTTTATAAAATTACAAATATTTTTTCATAATTGAAATATACGAAGAACACAAAATATTTACTAAAGTGTACAAAACAGATTTTAACCGAGTTAGTGTGCGTTTAAAGCTAGAACTACCAAACCAGTCAAATGATTTTTTTCTTTACAATTTCTGATACCATGAAAATGTTTTCGTTAGAAATTTTTATACGAACTTCTTCATTGGAACACATATTACAATGAAAATCGTAGAAAGTTTAAATAAATCCAATCTTGTTATTGTTCTAAGACAATATTATTCGCGATCAGGGCTCGACAATTACTAATCATTCTCGAGAAAGGCTAGAAAAATGCAGCTAAATATTAATATAAAGACGGACAGAATTTTCGAAATACATATTGAAATACAGTGACGTACGAAAGTGTGTACGCATCGTTTAAACACACAATGACATTAATAAAATCGAATCAAATGATTTGAATTTTCTTTAGATTTCGGACTGACTAGTTTAATTGACAGTGAGCAAAAGAATATTTGCGAAGATTATAATTCGTCGGAGTGACGAAACAAAAGCAGAAATATTTGAGTAACATTTCGAATGCGTCCCTCGGATAAAGCTTCATTCAACTAATGTTTTGATTAAAATGTTATCTAAATGACGGTCCGAATAAAATGTTATCCAAGTGACGTTTCGAATAAATTCTTCGATTAAACTACAATGCGTCCAACTCCGCGCTCTGCCGAAATTTTTGAGCAAAGCGTTCTTACGGTTAAAGACGAAAGCGACCGCCGAATGATATTCGTCTGGTTTAAAAGACGGAGAGCGAGGTCAGGACGCGCCGATAGTCAGTATTATTCGAGGGATTGGAAAACGGTTGTGTGAAACCAAAGGACGCTGAAACCAGCGAAGGCCGCCGAAAGATGGTTTATGGTTATATTGGAGCAGTAAAGTAATTTCCTATTTCGAAGGGCCCGACCTCGCAGTCGGCCATTATCCATTGACTTCGCCGAGAGAAAACTTTTATTCCAGGCCGTGTTTTGACAGCCGGCGGGTTCTGGCTGTTACTTTTACGATCGCCGTGGACAAGGCTTCGCGCTACGTGTTTCATGAAATTTACTATGTTGTCACCGACTAAATCGAGCTTTCGGGTCATACGATCTGTCTCCGTAAATATTGACGGAGAACGTAAAACCGGAGACTGAGATGCTCTCGCCTCGAATTATCTCGGCAGACGTACGTCGATCGATCTTCGCGGATGAAGAAAATGGAATGCAAGAGAATGCAGTGAAGTACGAAAATTGAGGGCAGTGGAACGTGAAGATCGTTTTTCGCGATGGAGATATCTGTGAAGATCGAACTTCGATCGATCTTCCATGAAATATATGGATGAAGTCGTATAAAATTATGAACTTGATTCAAACACGTCTCGATTTAAAAATTTAATCAGATAGACTTTGATCGATCTTCGTAGATCAAGAAAAGGGGCCTCGATATTTTTTCGGGGAAATTCTTCGATAAATTCATTGATAGATGTTCTTGAATAAGGGATAGAAACTTGCTGAAACGAAACAGAGGAAATAAGAAATAATGGTTCAAAATTATAGAAATGAGTTGATCTTCTTTTTATCTCTTGAATAAAGAAAATAAAATGGATAAAATCGCACCAGAAATACTAGAAGACTATACTAAAACAATTCGGAGACAGCAGAGAATTTTAACAAAGTGATCTACTGAAATATTCTTCGGGAAATCTTCTTGAAGGAAAAGTAACTTGGAGAAATCATGCAAGAAAATTCACAAACGATTTTTGAGGTACTCTTTGATCAAAATTCTTTAGCAAAATATTTTGAATGCAGGAAGGTAAGGAGAAAATTCGTAAGCAATAAATTGTGTGATACTCTTTGATAGAATTCTCTTGAATGACGAAAAAGTAGAAGAATTTAACCAATAAAATTCAGAAAAAAATTAATTATGAGATACTCTTTGATAGAATTTCATGAATGAAGGGAAAGCTGAAAGAAATCATATGCAAAAATTCAGAGAAAAATGAACTATGAAATATGCTTAGATACAATTTTTTGTATGCAAAAGAATGCAGAGAAACGAGTAGGAACCGTGCAAAAATTCGAAAGCCATAAATTACAAGATATTCTTCCATAGAAATTCTTAAATGAAAAAGAACTGGAAGTAATCATAGAACATACTTAATAAGATTTTAATAAAATTTTCTAAACGCAGAGAAACCAGAAGAAACGATACAAGAATACCCAGCGATGCGAAATCTATCATGAGAAAATTTCTCGAATTAAGAAAAGCCTGAAGAAAAATCGAAAACAAAAAGTTCGCGAAAGTTTGACAGAAAACGATGAAAGGTGTACAGAAAAGGTGGCCGAGGGGATGTTCGCAGAACAAACGACACAGATATTCTATGAAAGATCTGAACATTTATTTGACGGTCGTACACATGTAGCCGCACGCACCACATTCTCCATATGTGTACATATATACATACGCGACCCATGCTTCTTAGGCTTAACAATCTTTCTTCTATATACAGGAATCGAATAAAAAAAAGAGATCATCTACATGGACAAGACTATTTACAACATTATATTACTCTATCCCGAATTGTCGTGCGACGACGCGCGTAATTTGGTGTCCGCTTCGAGCGTAGAAAACACATCAACTGCGCGCGTCGATTTATACATATATAATATTTACAGCACGTAAAATACCACCGGGATTGTGATATACTGCGACTCCTCCCTTCTATTTACTACGATATGTAATGACTAGCAGACATTCTCTCACGCTCTACAAGTTCATAAACCCACTTGTCCAAACGAATCAACCAACAACATTGCTCTCACTCGTCCTCAAACTCCTCCGAACGGCACAGCGAACCGGCTACCAAGCAGATCACTGATCCAGCGTCCACGGCGGCGACGTTCAGCTCTGCCTGCCGGTGAGCACGGTGATGGGTTTCAGAAGCAATTGCGGCGTAGAGTGCTGCATCCTGGGCTGCTGCACGGAGTTGCATATCGAAACCGGTGGCGAATGTGGGGACATTGGCTCGGGGCTGCTACCAGGCGAGGCCCTGGCGGACGTCATCTGACCGAGAACCGACGGCTGATGGTACCTATGCTGCTGGTTGTGAGCGAACACCGTTCCCGTGACCTGATGCTGCTGGTGCGCGGCCAGGGACCTCAGAGTCGAGTAGAAGTCGTAGGGGTTGCCGGAGATAGGGATGCCGGCGGCGATGCTGGCGGCGTAGCCGGGGGATGGATGCAGCAGCCTGTCCATGGCGAAGTGTCCGTGAGCGGGAGGCGCGGCGGCGGCTGGCAGAGGCTGCGGCTTGCATGGGAGGCTGTTGGCGGGGCTGCAGGGGAGGCTACTGGGTAGACTGCTGGGGAGGCTGCTGGGTAGACTGCTAGGAAGGCTGCTGGGGAGGCTGCTGGCGGGGCTGTTGGCGGTGCTGGTGACGGCGCCGGGCAACAAGCTCGCGGGATAACCCGCGGGCGTGGTGTAGGGGCCGGCGGGCGCCGGGTAGCTGGCGGCGCGGTGCAAGTACGGCAGCGTGTACAGGGTTGCTGGCCATGCCGACGGAGCGTAAGGCGTGGGATAGAGGCTTCCCATGACAACGCTCCTTTTGAACGCCGCCAGCCTCGACCTGGAAGCCGCCGTGGTTCTTCTGCGCAACTTGCCCGTGGTGCCTCCGATGAAGACATCCTCGGAGCTGGGGTCCAGCATCCAGTAGTTCCCCTTGCCGGGATCGTCGTAATGTCGCGGCACCTTCACGAAGCACTTGTTCAGCGAGAGATTATGTCGAATCGAGTTCTGCCAGCCCTGCTTGTTGTTCTCGTAGTAAGGGAAATGGCTCATAATAAACTCGTAAATTCCGTTTAGCGTTAGCCGCTTCTCCGGGCTCTGGCGGATCGCCATCATGATCAGCGCGTTATAGCTGTACGGCGGCTTCTCGGTCTTCTTCTTCTCGTCGGTCTCCCGGTCCTTCGAGTCCTTCACCTCGGTATTCGCCGCGACCCCGGCGTTCGTCGAGCAATCCAACGGCGGCGTCTCAGTGCCGCCATCACCGGTCACGTCCAAATCACTGGAATCCGAGGTGTCCTCGACGTGGCTCACGTACGGGGACGTTGAACGACTGTCGGCCGGCGCCGGGGTGCCGGCGCAAGCTTCCGGCAAGATGCTGCGGATGCTGAAGCTGCTCTTCAGCGCGGTTCTCGGCGGCGGCGAGGCTGTTACCGTGTGCTGCTCGCAGGAGCCCTCCATATTCACCATCACTTCGATCACTTGGAAGTTTCTGAACAGTCCGCGAAACTTCGGTAATCGATCGGGAGCACTGATCGAACGTTTTCACAGGGGGTGTATGTACAGAGTTCTGGACACTAAACACTACGAATTCACCGAGATTCTCTCGAAACGTATGCGTTTTAAACTCTAGTTGGACCTTGCGATGTCCCACGAACGACGAGCGAAGTTGCTCTAACGAAGCTCGGACGCGGAGTTAACGTGATCCCCGCCACGGGATCTATATATGGTCGCCGAGGCCACGCCTACTCGGCTACCGGTAGCCTGGGCCGAGGAGGGAGCCGACCAATCGCCAAGCAACCGACTCGCTCTCCAGTGGCTGCGAGCCGGTCCCCCACCACAATGTTTTGCGGCCAATGTTTGACAGTAAACAGTGCAAACAACGCGTGGTTAAGCCGAGGGCAGGGACATCGAAGGTGGCCGATCGGGGACTCGCCGGTAGTGGGGCGCGCAGCCGCAACTATCCCCGGAGAAACTGCGGGCCCGCGTATACAAACAAATCCAAACGTGATTGCTGCGTTTCTACGCCCTCTTACGAATCCGTCTCTCTCTCTCTCTCTCTCTCTCTCTCTCTCTCTCTCTCTCTCTCTCTCTTTCTCTGTCTCTTTCTCCGGGTTCGCGTTGTCGTTCCTGAGGAGACGCTCTCTCCGCGGGGACCGATTTGCTCGCTCGCATGTGAACCCGGGGGCTACGAAAGGGGGTAAATGCCCTTTGTTGATGCTCCCGCTGACGGTAGCTGCTGCGCCGCGGCTCTAACCGCTGTTGTTTCGGTGACTTGATCGAACCGTAAAGATTCAGAGGGATCCCGAATTGTTCTAGATTTTACCTGTCTAGCTGCCTTCGGCTCGTTGCGCGATTCCAGTGGCGGCGCACGCTGGAACGGAGCACCTATTTCCTTGGGCATCGTCGGCCATAATTCATTGTCGAAAGTTTCTGTGATAGCTTTGTTAAATCTTTAACACTACAACTACCAAATCAATGCAATTTATTTCATGGATTAATATAAGTTACATCTTTCGGTGGACTCTGGATCTTTGTGCAAAATAAATATCTCTTAACACAGTCGCAGGAAACAGGTGCCAAACGGAAATTTCTTTCTTCCTTTAATCATTTTAAAAAGCTGGAATTAATAAATTGATGTTTGTAAATTCTTTTTGTCTATTGCTTGAAATTGTACAGACTCATTATTGTCATAAATGCATAAAATCCGCAGTCTATTTAGTCAGTCTCTACCGTGTATTTCTTTTTATTTTTTGCACCTCTTCGAAAGATTTTCTTCGTTATTCTTCTTCTTAAATCGATGGCACAATTGTGAGCAATTATTCAAACAGCGATATTGCAAATATCAATACACGAAGTGCAAAATATTGCAAAATAATAAAATGCATTAAATTTTCTTATTCTCTAATTCATTTCAGTAAAATATCGCTCACTATAAAATTTCCTACAATTCTATTCCATTGTTATTATTTATTCCAATAGTAATATCGCAAATATCAACTTATTGCAAAATACTATCTCATACATACGGTAGTCAATAAAATATAGAATTCTGCAAAATAATAAAATGCATCAAATATTGATACCCTCTAAATTATTTTACTAAAATATTTTGCTTCGCTATAAAATCTCTCACAGTTCCATTAATTATAAGATACATGTTTGAAAGATTTATACAACAAGTCAGCATTAAGCGACGTTTATTTCTTTGATATTCATAGATCGACTCGATATTATACGGTTATAATTTTATGAACACGATTTTGAATTTTGCATCGCATCGTACAATGCAACGTTGACGCACACTTTTGTTCACGTATTCTCCCCTGCGAAGCCACAATCATAACAGAACAAGTTTTGAAGATGCGATTCCTCCTCGTCGAACCTGATTTACAACCACCACCGTAACGAGACTACAATCGAAAAATAATAGACCGATTCTTATTCTAAATTCTAAGCTGAGCCCTTGAACGCGCATGTCGTACACATATCTAAGTGCATACCTAGTTATTTATAAACGCAGTTATGGTATTTGTGTAAACGCAGTTTCATGTAGCGTGCACCGTAAATGCCAGAAATGAATGAATAACCGCTTAAAATCCAGTATGCTCTTGTATCACAACTGAGATTATTTATATTGTCACTGGATCGTGAATTTCACGCTTTTGTCGTAGATAATAATCTAAACGATGTCGATACCCTATTTTTAACGTATTAGTATCACCACTGTTTTGTAACTTTTTAGTAAAGAATTATTTAGTAACGTAATATAGGTAATTATACATCAAAGAAATTAATTTTTATTTAAACACTTCTTGCGATCAGTCTTCAATAAAGACTTTTATTCCGCGATTTTTATTTCATTTAATTATCGAAACTGTAAGGATAGTTTTTTCATTAACTTTTACCGTTCGAAATCCACGCAAAAAACTTTTACATTGCTGAATTAATTATTCAATGACTGAACAAAGGGTAGATTTTCCCTTATCCTTTTCGCTTACAATTCTCGCAGAAAACTTTTTCGTCGCGATTCTAATTATCGAAATATGAGTATAATATAAATATAATATAAATATACAAATGTATATATAACAATAAACTCAAATTTTAATTATCTGACTATCCAGCTGTTTAATGGAGGCTTCGTTAAGGATTAAAATATTTGAGTAGGGTAGATTTTCATTTAAATGTGGTTTTCCGAAACAATAGGGGCGTGAACGTAGGTTGTAAAAATGACCAATTAAAAAATTAAAATGGTCGGGATTCTAAGTAGTTTTCATGACATTCCCGAAATTAACTTGTAAATTACAGATTTTGTAGGGTCGAGTGGTAATGGTATCCTCGAAACGTTACGACGGCGAAGGGTCGGACTGAGGATGGTGACGGTCGTCGTTTGGTTTATAGCGGCCGGCTTAGTCCGATAAATTTTGCCTACGGCCATTGTTTCCCGCTATTGAGGACAAATAGGATTAAGCGGTTACCGAGCTTTCCGCCACCTGCAAGCACTGCCGGTCCCTCTTCCATCCGTTGTTCCGTTAATATCTGGTATGAACTCTGCTCCCACAAATTAACCGCAATGTGAATACAGAAGAGAACGCCGTTGCAATTCTCAACATCTCGAACCCTAATATTTATTATTAGGGACTGCTTGCAGTAAATGATGGTCATTGTATTTTCGATCCTGGGTCTCTCTATTTCACATGAAAAGTCATTAAGTATAGGTATATAATCCCTACACTGCAAATTTTGTGGGTTATATTTACTGCAGAGTATTGAAGACACAAAAAGAATTTACTCTGCATTAAATTTAGCCCATAAAATTTGCTGTGAAGGGATTATATACCTATACTTAATGACTTTTCATGTGGAATAGAGAGACCCAGGATCGAAAATACGATGACCATCACTTACTGCAAGCAGTTCCTAATAATAATTATTAGGGTTCGAGATGCTGAGAATTGCAACGGCGTTCTCTTCTGTATTCACATTGCGGTATTTTAAATTCTTTTTGTGTCTTCAATAAAAATACTGCAGCGTTACTTTCACTGTATTAACTTCGTTATAAGAAGAAATAACTTTCTACCTAATTTCTGTTTTATAGAATAGATGAGAACAATTCTTATATAAATAAGTTTGGCGGCGGTTCGTAAGGTCGTGGAAAAGGAGTGGGGAGACGTTTCGTCCGGGGCCCGCTAGAGGACTCATCGGTAAGGCTATCCTAGCGGGCCCTTGCCTTAGACGTAAGGGTAGGACGAAGTCTCGGAGTATATATAGGGATCGGAACGGATCGACTACTAGCGGGAAGAGGAGCCCTCTGCTGGCAGGTCTGGAGGTAGCCGCCACATATAAATATACAGGGTTTCCCAAAGTTATGGTGTTTCCGGGAAATGATGGGTTCCTGAGATCATTTGAAGCAACTTTTTCCTTAGCGAAAATATTCTACGAGGCTTCGTTCACGATTTATTAACGAAAAACAGTGACCAATGAGAGGCGAGCTCGATTGGCGAGAGGCGGCCGAGTACCTAGCGCTAGTCGAGCTCGCCTCTCATTGGTCAAGCGTCGTTCGTTAATAACTCGTAAACAAAGCCTCGTAGAACATTTTCGCTAAGGAAAAAATTGCTACAAATGACACCAGGAACCCCTTATTTCACAGAAATACCGTAATTTTTGGACACCCTGTAAATAAATATATTTAAATAATACCGGACTTTGTGTCGAAACTTGGCGACAGAAGTTCCTTCGCTCGTTTTCGTACGAAAAGTAAATAAGTGTAAATAAGTATAAGTAATCACGGACATTTTTATTATTTAACATCATGAATGCGGCGTCGGCCACACATGGATGACATTAACTGTTTAGTGGTTTTCGAAATTCATGTTTGTTATAATATATTGATCAAACTGAATTTTACTGGAATATAGAGAATACAGAAAAGTTGAGATACTATCCACCAGGATAAATATTAACTCTCTAGTTTCAGGTTCATTAATTGAATTACTTTTATTCTGCGGGTATTTTTTTTTTGAAGATTAGTTTTTGATTTTGACAATGAATGTTTTATATAGTCTTTGATTATTTGTTACAACAATATAAATTCATCCTGTTGCATGATACTGTAGTTACTACTACACTGAGAATCTTTTGTATTAGGTGCATTGGAATAACAATTTAAATTTGAATTTAAACAAAAGTTTGAATTAGATTTTGAATTTGAACTTGAGTTTGAGATTCAATTTCAGCTTGAGCTTGGAATTTAATTTGAGCTTGAGATTGAATCTAAATTTGAGTTCCCGAGTTTCGAAATTCGAAGTTGATTTTGAATTTGAATGTGAATTTGATCGTGAATTCCAAATTGAATTTGTATTAGAAATAGAATTTAAATTTAGCGTTGAGTTTGTATTTGAAATTGAAATTACGTCCGAACTTGATTTTGACTTTGAATTCGAATTTGAGCTTGAATTTGAATTTGATCTTGAGTTTGAAATTGAGTATGAATTAGAATTTGGTCTTCCGTTCGAGATTGAATGTAAATTCGAATACGAACCTCGCCTTGAATTTGCCTAAATACAAATTCAACCTCTCGTTGAACCAAATACAATCTCAAACACGAATTTGAGAAAGCTTCGAAGAATCATATCGACGACGAAAGGAAACGGCAACCGCGCATTTAATTGACGCATTG